AAAAAAAAAAAAAAAAAAATCTCAGAAGCACCAGGTGTGGTGGCTCACTTCTGTAATCCTAGTACTCTGGGAGGCCAAGGCAGGAGGATCCCCTGAGCTCAGGAATTCCAGACCAGCCTGAGCAAAGGCGAGACTCCATCTGTACTAAATATAAAAAAATTAGCTTGGGTATGGTGGCAAGCATCTGTAGTCCCAGCTATCAGGAGGCTGAGGCAGGAGGATCACTTGAGCCCAGGAATTTAGAGGTTGCTGTGAGGTATGCTGATGCTATGGCACACTACCCAGGGCTACAGAGTGAGATTCTGTCACAAAAAAATAAAAAAAGTAACTCACAACCTAATTCAGATTTTAGTCTAGGTTGCCTGGAAAAACATTAATGAATGTAAGAAAAGTAAGGCCATCAAAAAAGTCTCTCTTTATGATAGTGTTCCTTCCCAGGGATGTAGTCCCAGAGCTTTCCACTGGAAGAGGCTGTGACCTTGGTGGGTCTCACGAAGAATGGTGGCTAAGTGGAACTGCTGTGCTCCCTGTAGGGGCAGGTGCACAGGGCAGGCACATTACAGTAAGGGGACAGAGCCAGGCAGACCCCCACCAAAGAGGGAGACCACAGACAGCACCAGGTTGCTGCAATTCAATCCATCAACAGCAGCAAGAGATCCCATGGCACAAGGGTGACTGTGACTCAGTGCTAAAGCAAAATGTGATGGCATCAGAGCTGTTGCTTCTGACCAAATTCCAGCCATATGAAAATGAGTGGCATTGACACATCATGGCACTGGAGGACCACAGGAAAAGTGACACACAGCCTGCAAAGGTACTGTGATTACAGCTTCTGCCAAAATCCTAAATTCTTCCAGCTTCTGGAGGATCACTGAGCATTAAAAATTAATATCATATACAAACACTTAAGCTCTGAGAATTTCTTTCAAATTACTTGAGGAAAAAGGCTTTTTCCCCGAGACCTCTTTCTGTGAATGTGTACATGTAAACACAGTGATGTGTGGTTTGTCTGTACTCTCAAAGAGTGGCAGGGAAAATTAACACCCTATTCATGACCTGTTGTTAGATACTTAAGACTCTCACACTTCACACACCCATGATTTTCTGTGAGGAGAATTCAATCTGCCAAAACAAGTATGTTATTTTCTCGAAACTGACTTAAAAATATTCCTGCGATGAAGAGTTCGAATACATATTTATGCAAACATAAATGAAATGCATTCACTTGACTCAGCACCACACTGAACTGGCACTCACCAAATAAACACAAAATATGTGCGCGTGTGTTTGTGGTTATAACACAGAATACAGACTTAGCTCAGCTTTCAGCCCAGGAATGTGGGGATGAAAGGATTCTGCTGCTCATAATCCGCTATTTTGGATTAAAAGGTATTCACATCTGAAAAGACCCTACTGTCTTTTCATTTCCTGGAAAAAGAAATATTTGTTTCTCTAGCTAATTTGATCTGGTAATTTTAATTTTTTTTTTTAAGAAGTGTCAACCCAGCCTGAGCAAGAGCAAGACCCAAGCTCTACTAAAAAGAGAATAGCTGAGGCAAGACAACTGCTTGAGCTCAAGGATTTGAGGTTGCTGTGAGCTATGACACCACAGGATTCTAGACAGGGCACAGAGTGAGATTCTGTCTCCAAAAAAAAAAACGAAAGAAAAGAAAGAAAAAGAAGGAAACTAAAAAAACACTATAAGGATTAGAAATAATATGTGGTGCCAGGGCTCCCTAAATGGCAGTAGTTGTTAATAAAAGTTGCATTAATGTTGCTAGTTTAGCTGTAGCAGTAAATCCCATCTCAGCCCTAGCTCCATCTTTGCATGATTTCTCATACTGTATTCAATCGCCTCTCCGTTAAAACTTCTAACCCACTGGCCTGAAAACTGAAATTTCTGTCCTTGTTATGACATAATATGGGCAGGTCCCCTACAAGAAAAGAAGCTTAAAGACTCTGGTTTGTCTCACAGGGCACTCCAGCACCACAAGTCCAATAAGGTTGGCTGCTTCTGCACTGCCTGGTTGTCAGCTACAAGGCTTAGTGCATTAGGCCAAGCTGTTCCTGCTCTGAAATCACTATTATTATGTGTCGTAATTACAAAAGCTGAGCTGGGACATCAAGCATCAGCATCACAAGTTCTTTTTAAAGATCAAAAGTACATCTTCCCTAGGAGGTCTAAAATAGCTAGCTGATTTATGAGCAGGACTGCTGACAGGATGAGGGTGCTGAACTCTGACAGAGCAGCCCTCTGTGCCCAGCAGTCTCCACGGGCCACCAGCCTGGGATTTGCCCATACACCACTGCCCCCAGACTGGCTGAGCAGCCACAGTTAAGAGGAACCCAAGTAGGCAGATGCCTCCCGGCTTTAGCCCAGTGCCCTCCTCCTGTCACTAAGGATGGAGAAGCAAGGTGCTGGCTGGGCGGCCTGCCTGTGCTCACTGGGTCTTTCCATTAGGTCACCATGCTGGTGTCTCCAAAGCAGTAATGCACCACTCTGGGTCAATACTCAAAATGCTGCAACTGAAACTGGGGCCCTGTACTCTGCTGCCCCATAGATTACCTCTTCCCTAGGACTGGGGTCCCGTCCCCAGGCCTGACTCCTCAGCACCCCAAGATAATCTCTGCATCAGGGTCCATGGGAAAGGTGGGTCCAGGTCCACAGCCTTTGGTCCCCTTAGTTTGGTCACCTTGACACCCCAGCAGCACCTAGCCCCACAGAAAGACCTGGCTAGTACGGGCAGGGCAAGTGTGCCTCTGTTGCCATAGTTACTGCCTCCCCAGTGTGACGTCACTGCCAAATGACCTGCAGTCAGGAAGAAGGGAGGCTGGCTGTAAGTTGCGAGTGCTCCTCTCTCATCTTTCCCCTGAGAGTAGTGAAGGTTCTGGGCATAGCCCCTTAGGGATAGCAGAGTTCTAGGCAGGTCTTAGAAAAAGGGTTATTTGGACCATAATGTCTTTTATTTTTTGGCCGGGGCTGGGTTTAAACCTGCCACCTCCAGCATATGGGGCCGGCACCCTACTCCTTTGAGCCACAGGTGCTGCCCAGACCATAATGTCTTCAAGGTACCTTCTGATTTAAATTGTCTGTGGTCCCCCAGTCTTACTTGGTGGGGAAGGAGGTCCACTGTGAAAGTTCAGCGTGATTCATCATCTGCAATACTGTCTCTGTACAACCTTGAAGGGCTCAGTGAAAGCACCATAAAGGACAGTGGCCCACAGCCCTGCTGTTCAGCTCTAGGCAGCCCAAGCCTTTGAGTGCAGCTGGGGGCCCAAAGCATGCAGTTCACCCACCTGAGAATTCCCCTAAGGGTAGAGGTCATTAGCTTCTGCTCTTTTTCCAGAGCAGTTAAGATAAAATGAGGCAAAGATATTAAAAATGTACGTTCTCCTGGAGCAGAAATCTTTCTGGAACTGCTCCATCCCACAGAGAGGACTGTGGGCTTGCCACAACATTCTCTTCACTGTCCAGTCCATCTAAAGTGAAAGGCCAGCAGAGAGGATTAACTCCTTCTAGTCGATAAGATCAGGTTTGGGTTCCCAGACGAGTACTTCTCACATGGAAAACAAGAAATGTACTGATCCCTGGCAAGAACCAGTCCTCTTGACTTAGCGTCTTCCCCCAAAGAAGGTTGGTGCTTCAGAAGGTGAGACACCCACCGATTTTGGCCAGAAACTCATTCATTAAAGACCAGACTCTCCTACGGCATTGGGTTACACCTTATCACTATAATATATCCTCCTTCTTTCTCAGCCTGTCTAGAAACTTTGGCCAGGCCTCAGGGACACAGCTTGAGACTGAGAACTTGCACAGACTTTTTAAGGACATATGATCTTTACATCCACAGTCAATGAATTAAACTGACACTTACAAACAAGCACTCTGTTTACCTGAGCTCTGTCCACAAAAGAAAACAAAACTCTCTTATAAATGGAATATATATTCAGGAAAAATCCACTTTGCATTCATCTCCATGATGTCTTTAATATGTGATACATTACTGATATTACAAAATTCCAAAAGGCCCCTTAAAAGATTTCTATGTTTGCCTTTTGTCATCTGAATCAGTGAGTGAAAAAATGAATTCGTTACCACATTGAACCCTTAAGTATACGTATGGTCTCTGCTGCCTTATAAAAACAAGACAAAGGGAGATTTGTAAGTGACTCAGGTGAGAACCACTAACACTTGGGGTGCTGGCTGCAGAGCCCCCCACCTGACATGGTCTGAATGCCTACCTCCTCCCCACTCCTTCTCAGCCTCCTCCTCTTCTAGCAGCTTGCCACCGGAGTGGTACCACCGGAAGTGCGGATCAGGGACGCCGTAGACACTGCAGTTAATCAAGGCACTGCTCCCCTCCTTGGCGATAACGTGGTCAGTTCTGGCAATGACAACAGGCATGGAGCCTGGGACCATGGCCGTGCTGTTCAAAGTGCTGTTGGTCACACTCGCAGCAGTAGCCAGAGTGGATGCTAGGACCAAAAAGGGCACATAAGGTGGAAAGCGCATAGTTGGACGGCTCTCGGACAGAGCCATCTCTTCTGCTTGCTCTGTAAGGCAATGGAGGGACGGTCTGCAACAGGGTTGGTGCCCGGCAACACACTTCAGAGGCCGCGGCACAGCCCCATCCTGGATCCAGACAGATGACACTTGATTAAGAACCTGTTTACAAAGCAAAATAATACATATATGTGTTAGAATAAAAACTGGAAAATTTATTTTTTAAAATAAATGTATTGGCCAGTGTGGTAGCTCACACTTGTAATTCCAGCACTCTGGGAAGCAAAGGTGGGTGGATCTCTTGAGCTCAGGAGTTTGAGACCAGCCTGAGGAAGAGCCAGATCCCATCTCTACTAAAAGCAGAAAAACTAGCTGGGTGTGATGGTGAGCATCTATAGTCCCAGCTACTTGGGAGGCTGAGATAGGAGGAACGCTTGGGCCCAAGAGTTTGAAGTTGCTGTGAGCTATGATACCATGGCACTCTATCCAGGGTGATAGAGTGAGACTCTGTCTCACAAAATAAATAAATAAATAAAGCAGTGCATTAACACTAGAAATTATTATCATTGTTTTAGTAAGAATTCCTTCTATCTCATATGTTGCCCTTTCAGTTCTGAATTAAAATGAAAAAAATAATTGGCTTAGCACCTGTGGCTCAAGTGGCTAAGGCGCCAGCCACATACACCTGAGCAGGCGGGTTTGAATCCAGCTCGGGCTCGCCAAACAACAATGACAACTGCAACCAAAAAACAGCCAGGCTTAGTGGCGGCGCCTGTAGTCCCAGCTACTGGGAGGCTGAGGCAGGAGACTCAACTTGAGTCCAGGAGTTGGAGGTTGCTGTGAGCTGTGATGCCACAACACTCTACCCAGGGCAACAGCTTGAGGCTCTTTCTCAAAACAAACAAATAAACAAACAAAAAAAACAGTCTTTAACAAAAGCAATAACAGACAAATTGTTAAGCTTCGTGTGTCAGCTAGTGACTTTTGGGAAAACTTTCACAGACTATTTTCTCTAAGTAGGACAAAAGAGAAAACATTTAACAAGTCTCAGAGGTTCTTTAATCCGACACTTTTCCCACATCCCAACCATCGTATTTTATCTAAAAGTGATTAATAAGGTAAAATGCTTTAAGTTTTATTTATTGTTTCTCTACCTATAATCAACAAGACTATTGTTTGTATATTTCTGGAGCTGGGAGGAAAAAGGTCTCTTGTGTAAGGGTGTTTTGAACTAAATGAATATACATTGTTGTTTTTTCTTGGCAGTGTTAAGGCAGGCATTGCCTTGTTTGAGGAATAATTTGCATAGTTACACAACCGGATTTTGTTGCAACATGTCCTGAGAGCTGCCTCTATTTTCAGTTGTGTGGGAATGACCCTCCAGGCGCCAAAGTTGCCTTCTGGATGAAAAGACATTTCTGACAGGTTACGCTCAAGATGTAAGAAGGGGAAACTCCAACCTGGTATGAATTGGAGAGAGGGACAAAAATACTCATTAAAGCGTAAATGGTAACTTTTAGGAACGGTTAGCCAACTGAAGCCATTTTAGTTAGGAATACATTTCTGCAACCTCCTTTGCCATCTATTTTACTGCACTGAAAATATCTAGGATCTTTTCTTTTTATTTTATTTTATTTTATTTATTTATTTTTTTTATTGAATGGTAACTATGTACATTAATGCACTTCTGGGGTACAGTGTGGGGTTTTCACATGCAATCTGAAATACTTCCATCAAACTGGTCAACACAGCCTTCATGTCATTTTCTCAGTTATTGC